AACAATAATGGTAACTTCCTAAAAGAAGTGGAATTACTGGCGAAGTTTGATCCTGTTTTAAAAGAGCATGTACGACGCATTGACAGTGGAGCGAATCACACAACATTCTTAGGGAAAACAATACAAAATGAGCTTATCGCTTGCATGAGTGACACCATTCTCCGTACAATTGTGGTTCAAATCAAGGAGTCAAAGTATTTTTCCCTGATTTTGGACTGCACTCCAGATGTCAGCCACCAGGAGCAGATGTCTGTTGTGATCCGTACAGTCGACCTAAAAAACACACCAGAAATCAGAGAGCACTTCCTGGGGTTCCTATTAGCCCATGAATCAACTGGACTCGGCTTATCCACACTGATTCTAAGAAGGTTAGAGGAGCTGAACATCCCCTTTGAGGACTGCAGAGGACAATCTTATGACAATGGTGCCAACATGAACAGCCGAAATAAAGGGACACAGGCCAGGCTGTTGAAGAAGAATCCTCGAGCTCTCTATGTACCTTGTGCAGCCCACACATTAAATCTGATGGTGGCAGATTCAGCCAAGGGGTCAGTGGATGCCACTAACTTCTTCGGAGTGGTGCAGAAATTGTACACCTTATATGCAGCTGCGTCCCAGAGGTGGGCCATCTTAAAAGATCACGTGGACCTCACTGTCAAGGCCTGGAGTGAAACAAGGTGGGAAAGCCGAATTAACAGCATTGAGCCTTTACGCTACCACACCGTCAAAGTCAGGGAAGCTTTGCTTGAGGTGAGGGAAAAGACAAATGACCCTATGATTAGAATTGAGGCCCAGTCCCTGGCTGAAGAAATTGGATCATTTAGGTTCCAGATCTGCACAGTTGTCTGGTATGACATTCTATCAAAAATTAACACAGTTAGCAAACTCCTTCAGTCCGTCAACATGCAGCTGGACATAGCAGTAAATCTCATAAATAAAACCAAAGCATCTCTAAAGACCTACAGGCCAACTGGGTTTGTAGATGCTCAGACCACTGCAAAAGAGCTCTGTGAAAACATGAATGTTGAGGCAGTGCTGAAAGAGAAGAGGCTGCGAAGTACAAAGAAGCACTTTACCTATGAGGCAGCTGATGAGGTAGTGATCACTGCAATGAAGAGACTGGAAACAGGATTTTTCAATGTTGTGGTAGACTGTAGCATCCAGTCTTTGGAGGACCGATTCAAGTCAATGGGGGAAGTTAAAGATAAATTCGGAGTGCTCCTGAACTTCCACAAACTGGATGAAGAGTTACTTAAAGAGCAATGTGCCCAGCTCGAAAAAACACTCACCTGCGGAGAAGAGGCAGATATTGATTGGAGAAAGCTAGCCATGGAGATGCAGAGCCTTCCAGAGCTTCCCAAAGAAGTCACGACAGCGTTGGAGCTACTTATTCATATACATGAAAGGGGGCTGTGTGAGTTATACCCAAATCTTTGGGTAGCGCTGAGGATAGCCTGCACTCTTCCAGTGACAGTGGCAACTGCAGAGAGAAGCTTCTCTAAGCTTAAACTCATAAAAACCTTCCTGAGGTTCTCCATGTGTCAGGAACGCCTGAGCGGCATGGCAATGATTAGCATCAATCACCAGATAGGCAGCCAGATCTCATATGATGAGGTTATAAATGACTTTGCATCCAGGAAGGCAAGAAGAGAACAATTCTGAGGAATGAGTAAATGGATGCATAGCATCACAGATTTGAAGAACTTCAGAAGGGAAGGCATTTCCCACAAATGTCTTTTTTGAAAATTACATATGATCAGCATCATTGTAACCTTATGATTATATTTAGTCAATAATACATGGTTAATAGCCTACTTATGTAAGGAGTGATTTTCCTGCTTTGATAAGAATTGAGAGAACTCCCTACAATTAAACAATAAAACACACCCCTGGAGGGACGACTTCAAAGAAGGAGCCTGTGAGACTGCCGTGTTCAAACTTCCCGCCGTGCATTCCTCCCTCCTCCCTCTCCCTCCTCCCTCTCCTTCATACCTTCCTTTCAGCACTGGGGAATGTCTTTATCAATCTATTGGTTTTCCCGTTCATGTTTGGTATAATTTTAAAGGTCTCAGTGCGATTGGTAAAATACTCTCACTTTCACTACAGTCCTTGGTATTAAAACTTAGGAGAGTTCTGTTCTCCTTTTTGGGTGGTGACTCTTCAAGATATCTGATACTCCTTCTCCTCTCCCCCGAAACCGGGTGTAAATATTTACTGCCCTTTTGTTCTGGTTTGGGGTATTTAAAGCGAGGTGCAAAGCAGCCATTTGGGAATCTGTAGCCAGAAGACCCCCATACAGTGCTGTGTCAGTGTCTTCCTGAGTCCTGCACTCAGAAGACACTCACACACACACTGTATGTCTTTGTCAGATATTTCTCATTCTTAGAGTCATCTTGGAGCAATTGATGTTATGCATTTATTATTTCTGAATCGGCTTTTAATTGTTTATTTGTGGAATTGGCATGATACATTATTACCTGACAAATAAAATGTTACACTTGATTTGTTCTGAATTGCTCTAAAATCATTCTTTTTTTGTAGATTATTGGAGGTCGAATTTCCATAAGTTTGCGTTAGTATAGTAGAAACTGAAGATACCATGGTAGGAGCAGGGAGCACTACTTTGCAATGAACTTTTGATTTCTAACTATCACTGATTTTAGCATGTGCAGTCTGTGACTAAATGAAACTGTATGATAGGAGCGAGTATGTTGCAGCTGCCTTTTTAATGTTTTAGTTAACGCTGCACCTCTGACTATCTTCAGAGCTAACGTGATTATGTCGTGAGGTTGCTTTCTGGCCAGAGTATATTCTCTAAGTGATTTGGATTCATAATTGCAATCATAAGTTGAAAGTGTTTGATATTTGAAAATAGGAGAGTTCTAGATAAATCAATGATCTAAATTAATATATCATCAATATTTATGATTAGTTCCTAAAAGGAAACACAATCTAAATTTGATAAACATTTAAAATTGGAGTCAGATTAAGCGTGGCGCTAACTTAAAAGTGCATCTAAATTCTAATAAATTAAGTGAACTTTACAGAATCGCTGAAAAGTCTTACACGCATTATCCCTTCGCCACACCGTTGGATTCCGTCGTTGGGCCGACGGGTGGACCTTTACACTTACAAGTCAAGTGTTTTTTAGCGATTAACTTTTTTCCAAGGTGACCATGCATGCATGTGCGCGCACACAAATACACAAGTTTGGATTTTATCAGTTATTTTGAAATGTTACTTAATTCTTATTATTGTTACTATTAATCTTGTTTGTGGTGTTTTAGATATTATTGTTAATTTAGTTAATTTGGAAAAATTCAAACATTTAAATGTTATATTTATTATTTTATATAATATTTTATTTAAATGTGATTCTATTTGCTCTATTTCATTTAAATTATATATAGGCTGTTGTTTGTGCCTCCTAAACTCTGGTGTCAATTAAAAATGTTTCTTTGATGGTCAGTGAAAATCACTTTATCAGTCTTTTTATTCAGCAAGTTCATCAGTGTGTGTTCGTTGCACTGCACTGCCATTCAGCTCAGTGGTATCATAATTGTCCTGTTAGACATCAAACATGGAACTCGACTCAAGAACTCAAGGTCTTTTATTGTCATTCTGTACATGTTGCCACATAAGAGCGAAATACGTACTCAGGACCAGCAGCGTAAAAAAGATCATTAACATACAGTATACATAGAATAATTAAACATAATTTAATAGACTAAAACATTTAAAAATAACATAGTAGATATAATATGTACAGTATAGTTATAAGGTAGTCATTGCTTTTCTTTAGGCCGTACTTAAAACGGTCAAAGGGGCCTCCAACCAAATTTTGCTTAGGGCCCCCAAAGGTCTAGGGCCGGCTCTGCTCCACACTACACTATACAGTACTATACAATCCACACTATACACCACAAACTATACACTACACTATACACTACCATACACTACACTTTACACTCCACAATATACACCACACACTACACTATACACTACTATACACTACTATACACTCTACACTATACACCACACACTATACACTACGCTATACACTAATATACACTCCACACTATACACCACACACTATACACTCCGCGATACACTACACTACCATACACTACACTACTATACACTATACTTCTATACACTACACTACTATACACTACACTACTATACACAACTATACACTACTAAACACTACACTACTATACACTACACCATTATACTAGATTCAAAACTGATTCTTTAGAACCGCTTTTTGGGTGAGTTTGTTGTCCTTCCCCTGCACATACGATTATCACAGTTAACTACGTACGGTGCAACAGAAGTTCAACATAGATACACGGATATTACATGTTAGTACTGCAGTCACCCTGTATCTGTGAAATGTTTCTATAGCTTGGTTCTGTCGCTTCTGCTGTGGTCCCCGAGGCGATTTGCGATGCAGGACAATTTCATAATTTAGTTTCGATTGTAATGTTCACTTTTATATTTGTGCACTGCTTTAAATTCCACCCACGTGGTACAGTTGTTGTCTTTTATATTATTTTTGTCTTTCGGTAAAGTCACGTAGATAGGTTCAAAGAAAATAACAAAAACCTATCTACGTTACTTTACCGAAATACCCAAAGATTATGAATTCCTGCAGTCATGAAAGCTTTAAGTCAAGATTTGTTGTCTTTTAGTTCCAATTGTTCCACTTCATTGCTGTAATTTTTTTTCGCTTCATTTTGCAATTCGTTTATTTTTCTGGTGAGCCAGGTCATCACTCCACTTGCAAAGTGAGACTCCTCTCCCTCTTGCCTGGGTCTCTCTCGAGGTCTCGACCCGTTACAACAACAACAACTGCAACTTAAAACACTCACGCGGACTGGGGCAGTCTGCCTGCTTAAGTGTGGGGTGAATTCAATTAGTGACGCTGCTCTTCCTGTAACGAGCGCGTCACCCTCTTCCAGTAAGTGACTGGCACTGCAGTTTCCTGTTCACTTTGCTCCGTGGATCGTACGGCACTGTGTGCTCTCCGCACACTCACTGATACACTCACTGACTCACTGAGACACTTGCTAAGACACTCACTGAGAAACTCACTGAGATACTCACTGAGACACTCACTGAGGCACTCTGACACTCACTGACACAATCGCTGAGACACTCACTGAGATACTCACAGAGACACTCGCTTAGAGACTCACTGAGACACTCACTGAGACATTCACTGAAAGACTCACTGAGATACTCGCGCCTCACTGAGACACTGATAAACTCACCGTTATACTCACTGAGACACCGAGACACTCACCGACAGACTCAATGAGACACTCAGAAACTCACTTAGACACTCACTGAGACACAGAGACGAGCATAACCATGGCCACCCCAGCTGCTGTATCTGAGCTCAGCTGCTCCATCTGCCTGGAGGCGTTTGATTGCCCCTCCACACTGAGCTGCGGACACTCGTTCTGCCTCCGGTGCCTGGAGGCCGCCTGGAAGACGGCGAGCAGCTTCAGCTGCCCGCAGTGCCGAGCGACCTTCCCTGTGCGACCCCAGCTGAGGAGGAACGTGGCCCTCGCCAACCTGGCGGAGCAGCTCAGAGACGGGATGGCCGCGGCCGTCGTGTGTGACCACTGCAGTGGTGGCCAGACTCCTGCAGTGAAGACCTGCCTGAGATGTGAGATGTCCTTCTGTGCGAGGCACTTGATGCCTCATATAGAGAATCCCAGGCTGAGCGATCACGTCCTGGTGGCTCCCATTGCGAACCTGGAGGAGCGACGGTGCCGAGAGCACAGAGAGGAGCTGAAGTACTTCTGTGAACAGGATGAGATCCCAGTCTGCACAGGCTGCACCATCACTGGAGACCACTTCGGGCACAGAGTTATCACGGTGGAAAAAGCGCAACAGACAAGACAGGTGAAGTGTCATGTTCCGTTGTAATCCACATTGTTACAGGAGATTGAGAGATTCACATCAGTAGGTCGTGACCCCTCACTTCGACCAGGTGAGCTCCTGTTGAGACCAAACGTCCCTTTAAAGGGAGGCCCAGGTAGAGGTGGCAGGCTGGATCAGATGTCAGAATATTGAGACGTTAATGCTAAAATCTTGAGTTGGAATCTCGCTGGCCACCCATGGTTTAAACCGGATTCTGAAGTTTAGTGAGTTGATCGTCTAAGCCCAGTCAACATTTGACGACATGTCAAATCATATTTTGCATGAGAATTAAAAATATTAGTTTAAGTCAGAAACTTTACTATGTATCGTAGGGCGTGTGAGAAACCGCTACATCCATCACTGGAAGAGGTTTAAAACATTTTAGAATGTACGTGATATTTGGCAATGATGTCTCACAGAATATTGCATTGCTCTGCAGTAGTTCCGATGGGATTCTTCATCTCAATACATGACGCGGACAGTGCAGTCGGGATACAATCATGGGAAAAGTAAAAACATAAATGGAGACGTATGCAGACATATAATGGCAACAGATGTGGGTATGTGTGTTGAACTTCTTTCATAGCCAACTGTGCTCATCAGAGATGCGGGATGATGATCTATCAGTGATCCACCAATGGTGAGCACCGCGTATTTATTCATCTACCACACGCAGGAGGAGCTCAGAGTCAAGAAGAAGGGGAGAGAGGAGAAGAGGAACACAGCGGCTTCACAGACACGGACGCTCAGGGACGACTACCGGCGCGTGGAGGTAGAGAGAGTTATGGCAGCTGCACAATTCCCTTTTCTGGTTTGCCCAAGAATCGTATTTCATTAAACCTTGCTCTTATCATTGACGAGCACTGTCCCACACATCGGCGCGGGATATAACATTGGTGAATTGCAAACAATTACAGCGTATTCTTTGGTTATTTCGGTAAAGTAATGTAGATAGAAAATAAAATAAAAAATAATACAACTTTTATTTTCTATCTACGTGACTTTAACGAAAGAACCTGGCTCACACGAAATTTATTTATCTAAGACGAAGGTACTTTGCAAGCCTACTGGCTATCAACAAAGATTCGTTCATGAAGCCATCCATATATACAGACACAGACACAATTTCCACCGAGAAGACGGTTATAAACTCAGCAATTATTGGAAAGGTGTCATCTACCACTTTGGGTTGATTTGTATTTTTTTTGTCAACCTCCACCATCAGCAGTGTGGATGTGTGGAGCGAGGTGCAATGCCCCCCATCTCTACCCCCTTGCTCTCCCCATATCTCTACCCCCTCTCTCCACCGATTTCTACCCCCTCTCTCTCCCCCTATCTCCCCCCCTCTCTCTCCCCCTCTCTCTCCCCTATCTCTACCCCCTCTCTCTCGCCTTTGTCTTCTCCTACATAAACATTAGCTGCTCCGCCCATGCTGCTGACACACTTGGGCTACACCGCTCACCTCTAGCTCGTCCATTTTGAACCTTTATAAACAGTTGCATTTAGAAGCTTAACCCCCCTTTTCTCTCCGTTTGATAACGACCGCTTGTGTTGAATTTAAACGTAATGAGTTTTTTCTTTTTTTTCATTTATATTTTTATTATTTTTCATTTTTATTTCATTTTCTATCTATGTGATAGAAAATGAACCAAACAATGTTATTTCATTCAATTACAACTTGCTGGCTGCCTTCTTTCAATCTAAAAAAAATCAACGACGTAACTGTTTGTCTGCCCGGACTTCTTTTTTAAGCCCATTTATTTGAGCGCATAACATTTATGAAACGTTAATCTTCAATTAATCGATTGCTTTCGTGGGTTTTTACACATCAGTGAAATTTTTATTAAAACATTTGGGAAACATTTCGTCCGGTTTTACGGCGGCCCGATTTTCAACAAACGTTTATGACGTGAATAGAAGACCACCACTGAACGACACAGAAACTTTATTTACGATGCAACTTACAACATGACAGCAGTTTTGGTTTAGGGGGGACAGAATCGATCCACGCTGGATGGTGCGTTAGCGACTTGCCCTGTCGATTCCTTTATTGATCACAACCACGATGCTTGCCATGGAAGTTTGTGATTCCTTCCTTCTGACTCCCCAAAAAATTAACAGTACCAACTTAGCCTAAAGGCAATAAGGAGTGGACGTGAGTATTGTCTTCAAAATCTGATTTTTTTTGTCTATTTCAGCACTTTTTCACTTAAAACAATGGAGCAATGTGACGTGTATTTGTTTTGTATATTCGTAGACCTTTTACACAATTTCCTGGGAATGTCCTCGGCAAGAGAATTTGTTTACATTTAATTTGTGTTTCCCTCTGATGCACCGTTTGGTAGATCCAGAATTGCACAGACAGACAGATGCGAATGATACCCATAGAGATGTATTTCATTTTCCCCAGATAGACACTCAGCAACGTGTAGCTACAGACATAAGTATTTCCAATACTTCCCTTGCCTTGATATTTTCTCCTTATATTCCATTCTCATTCTCCCTGTGCTGTATATGTTCACGAGCTTCGAATACACATGTCGCCCACCTCCTTGTACATAATCGAGGTATGGTAACAATCATTGCTTGCGTCGTTACCTAACAAGTGACTCAACAATCTTAATTTGGAGCTTTCGTGACTGCAGGAATTACTCTTTGGTTCTTTCGGTAAAGTCACGTATAAAGATAAAATAATAAATTAAATAATAGCATACGACGTTTCGATTGCAACACAAGCAATCATCATCAGGTATAAAAGAAATAGCAACAAAAATCTAAATTAAGATTGAACCACTTCTACGGGGAAGTTTTAAGTTTATCTTTTTCTCTCTCTCTGGGTTTTTTGTTCTCTCTCTCTGCCTGTGTATCGATATTCGTGTTTGTGTCTTTCAAATTTCACACTTAACTTCTAACTTAGCAATCTTTGAAATACGTAATCAACCAGGCTATGCGTTAATTGTGTGTTGACCGACTCTCTGTGTTGCATTACATTACATTTCGATATTTTGCTAGGTTATTTAATTTAGTGTGTCTCTCTCCCGCTCTCCTAATTTTCAAGCTTGCGTACCTTACCACGCGTCGTCCTACTCATTGACATGCAAATTTTTCTCTAACCCCTCCCTCTCTCCGCCCCCACCCCCTCTCTCTATTTAAGGCCTCGTCACAGAGACGTTCTCTCTCTGTGTGCCGATGTGTGTTCTCTCTCTATGTATCTTTGTGATATCTGTCTGCTTATATGTCTGTCTAAAGTTTTCTGGTTAGATTTTTGTTGCTATTTCTTTTATACCTGATGATGATTGCTTGTGTTGCAATCGAAACGTCGTATGCTATTATTTAATTTATTATTTTATCTTTATACGTGACTTTACCGAAAGAACCAAAGAGTAAGTGACTCAACAACTCGCCACTGTCTGTGTAGGAGAATGTACGCGGTATCAGTCGAGAATTTGAGCGCCGGTGGAATGAAGAGAGGGAGGTGCTGAACCGCGTGGACGAGGAGGGCCGCTCCGTGCTGTCCCGCATCCAGGCGGACATCGCTCGCTACGAGAGCAGAGCACGCGGCCTGGAGCAGGAGATCAACCAGCTGCTTGCCGCCCTCGCCGTGAAGGACCCACTCTCCTTCCTGCAGGTGGCACCACCTCCATTCACTCACCGTGGTGGTTATGAGATGTTAACTACCTCGCCTGATATGCAGGAGGTCGTGGGTTCGATACCAACCTTGACGGCTGCTGTATATTTGGAGTTTGCGCCTCTCTCTCTCCCCATGGACACGTAGATTTTTTTCCAGGTCCTCCGTTTTTTCCCTCCACATTTAAAATCAACGTCACGCGTTTAGAGTATTTTGCTGCAGTGAATTTATGTGCAATAAGCCATTTTGTTGAGTTATCATTTCTGGCAAGGTTACCTCTGTAGTAGAGTTATATAGCTCAGTGGGCCTTACCTCGTAAGGTATAAAAAATATGTTTATGATAGTTTATACTCACAGCCTTGGTTTATCAGAGGGTTTATCTACAACCAGCAGAGGTGCACCGCCCTCTGAGACGTTTACATTGTTGAAAATCTTATTTCAGTGTTTTTCGATCTGGGAAAAATAGCCGCGCGTTTGCTTCTGTGTGACATTCAGACCTGGACTTGTCCAGTACAACATTGCCATTTACCTCGCCTGCTATGCAGGAGGTCGTGGGTTTGACCCCGATGATGCGTGCTGTAAATTTGGAGTCTACGTCTCTCTCTGTGATTGCTTAGATTTTTTTCCATGTCCTCTAGTTTATCACTCCATATTTAAAATCAACATCACGCATTCACAGTATTTGGCTGCTATTATAAATGTCCACATAAGCCCGTTCGTTGAGCTATTATTGTGATAGCCAGCTCGCTACTGAACAAGAGCGACATAGCCAAGTGGACCTTACCTGGTAAAATACAAAGTTTTGTTTATTCAGAGTTCAAAAACACGAGTTGTTGAATGTTACTTAACCATTTGTTTAGCTGCTAGACTAGACCTGTTTTGTCATTTGTTGGGGTCCGTGTCCAGTTATACAAATCCTGTTTTTGATGAAAAAGTAATAAGAACTTGCTTCTTTGCCCGTCCTAGGACGGAAGCTGTAATATGTATGAAAAAATGGAGCAGAGCAGAATTGTATCTTGTGTAAATTTAATGGCAGTGAATCTTGCACAAAAGAATGGTATCAAACACTTCACTGCATTTCACTGTAGCACTGTATAATAGGCAGTGATTCTTGCAAAAAACTACATCATGAAACACCTTACTTCATGTCACTGTAGCACTGTATATAGCTGACCTCCAATTTGTTCAAATTCACTGCTCTGATACTTTATTCTCTTCTGTTTTCGATTGCTGGAGTTGAAATAAATTTGAAATCGATACAATATCTGGAAAATCACCAAGAAATGTATATTTTACCATAACGTAGAAGCATAAATTAGGCTTACCTTTTGTCTCAAGTGGTGAACAAATAAATAATGACACCAAATCAACTTTCTTGTTGGATAGAATTATTTATTAGATTCACTTTCAATAAAGAAACGTGAAACTTAAAGCGAATTTGCGAAAAAAAATATTTCCGCTCGACCTTCTACGTGAGTGTAAAAATCCACCTGCTCATGAATATAATGACTGGGGGTGGGGGGTGTGGCATGTGGAGTGACGTCACATGCCGGACACACAAACAGACATTCTTGGTTCATTATAGTAGTAATACATAGGCTTAACAGTACAGAGGCAATGCAAGTATCAAAGTATTAATTGGTTGAACAGTGATGCCTTGCAATAGGTATCTGTTTGGTGTTAAGAATATTTTAAACCCTCCTATTTTAATTGCCAGAATGGATAAAGCCTCTTCTTATTTTTTTTCATTATATCGATATTGGCAAATAGGTCCCACAGATAACTCTGTTCTTCACCATTCTCTGTTTGCAGGTATTTATTAATTCCTTGATGTTGTGCTGCAATGTAAGCGGCAGGTGACTGTATGTAGGTGGGGCATCTGTTTAGCATGTCAATGTTAACGTGAAATGCGGGTTTGTGTTTTTCAGGATCCCGTTCATGATATTCTCAGGTCAGTACCAACCCAGACTCAATCTCAAGCTCTGTCTGCCACCTGGTGGACAAATCAGTGAACGGTCATGATGTGATTCCTAATAAACCCAATTGTATGCAGTTGTATCCCATGTTGTCTGTGTGTCAAGAGATATGGACCTGCATTAGACTTTGTGTGTCCCGTGCTGTGTGAGTGGATGGACTGCACCCTCCATAGACTCTGCGTGTCCCGTGCTGTGTGAGTGGAGGGACTGCACCCTCCATAGACTCTGCATGTCCCGTGCTGTGTGAGTGGAGGGACTGCACCCTCCATAGACTCTGCGTGACCCGTGCTGAGTGCAGGAGCTCGGACTCGCAGGGGATCCAGGATCCGCCTCCTCCCACATTCAGTCACCAAGAGCTCACAGAGGTCATCTCGCTAGGAGGAGTGAATACGATGCGCGTGGCTCTCGTGTGTGAGTCTCTTTCTCTGCACTCTGCACTGATCTCTGTCAACATCGTTCATTACAAACACAACACTGCAGACTGGCACCATTCAGTAGGCTGCTGCCCTTTATTTCAGCAGTATCATGAGACCTCCTTTGCCAGTACCAAAATATAAGAATAGGTTTTTCCCCTTTTTCTGGCAACATAACTGAAACCTTTTTACAAGGAATCATGTCTGCATTAACCACAATGCTTGTGGTCAGAATGGTAACAAAAAACACGCTGATAATATATGCATTGTCCTTGAAACTGATTGGTCCACACCAGAAACAGCTTTCTTTTGAGCCTCGTCCTAAACGGTGCTAGACCAGAGGACGCCAAAAGGCATACAGCTCAAAGACAATGCACTATCAAAGTAATGAGAGCTCGGGGTACTAATCTACATCATGAGACATTCTTTGCCAGTATAATGTACATTATCAGTGTGTTTTTTGTTTGCATTCTGACCACAAGTATTGTGGTTAATGCAGACATGATTCCTCGTAAAAAGGTTTCAGTTTTGTTGCCAGAAAAAATGGAAAAAACCTTTTCTTATATGATTAGCAGTATGTGTACAGAGATACTAACGAATTAGTGTAGAGGAGTAGTGGGAAGAAGTGAGGGCATCGGGAGGAAATAACTGGATTACGTCTTAGAGTGATGGCATGTTACCAAGAGGGAAAGGGGTACTTGAGGGGGACCCCGGGTCGAGGGGCGGGGCCGTTGTGGGGTGCCTAGGGAACGGAGGTCTCGAGGAGATGGAAGACCCGCCGAACGGAAGACACGCAGCTCGGCACCGAGACCCTAGGCCGAGGAAAGAGTAGGATTAGTGGGGAGCTTAGGTGAGGATAGGCCGAGCAGTTAAGCAGGTACCGGGACGGTCCACAGGAAGGACCAAGTGTAGAAGTACCTACCTTGGGTGTGATCCGGTGATACTGTACGTGAGTGTAGTCGTTAATAAACTGGCAATAGCCCTTACAGAGAATCTCGTCTCTGCGTGAGTTTACAACGCAACAACTGGAGTCAGAAGTGATAAACAACCTGCAACATCATGTCCAAGTTGGCTGCGAAGCGCAAGTACCGTCTGGTGGAGAGATCGGAGGACAAGGAGCGCTCCGAGGAGGTGCCCACAACGTCCCTGGGGCCCGGGACTCCGGAAATGCACCCGGGCGAGGTCGGCCCATCGGCTGGAGTGGTGGTGGCTGCCGCGACCACGGCCACTTCATCACCATCGCGAGAGAGCTGGGATCTTCTCACCTCCCAGTTCGGACAGCTGCTGCAGATGACTGCTCAGCTCGCCGTTGTGATGACGGAGGTGGGTGCCCAGTCGCGCGCGATATCGTGCTTCTGGAGCGAGATCATGCGCATCCCGCCACCATTTCCCTTCCCGCAACAGTGCAGTTTCCCGCCAATTCTCCCATCGACGTGACGCGGGATTTGGGCACCATCTTGCCCTCGGGTGCGCCACCGCAAACGGATGTCATTTTGCATGTGACGCGAGAAGTCAGCGACACTGTATACGTGACTCAGCATCTGGCCGCCATTGCCCGTCTCCAGCGACGCCGCTATGCGTTCATTCTGGAGCACAATCGCCGGCCCTTGCTGTCAACTCGTCATTTTTGCGACGCTTGCCACCCGTGCCTCCTTTAATCTCTGCCGCGGGTGACTGGCCGTCCTTTCGCGACCGCTTTGAGGCGGCCTACATCTCCGTCGGGTGGCCCATGGAGGAAGCACTCAAAGCCCTCCCGACGGCCCTCGACGACAACTCTCTGGTAGCCTTTAACTCCATCACACCTGCAGATAGGGCGATGCTTCCTCTGGTGTATGCCCAGATGGCGGCCATCTTCAAGCCGGCCTCTATCGCTCACCAAAAGTTCCTGTCGCAGCGACGGGAGGACTCCGAAATGCCTCTCTCGTTCTGCAGCGCCTTTCTGTCACTCGCCCGTGCCGCTTAACCCGGCATGGATGCGGCTGCTCTCGATTTGTTGGCCCTGGAATGCCTGCTTTTCCTCGCACATGAGCTCGGGGTGGCTCTGTCGGTGGCAGATGAGGCAGAGGTCTCGTCCTTCAAAGTAGCGCAAGGTATTCAGGTGCACCTCAGCCTGCGCAAGCCACTCGGGGTTAAGGTGTGTGCGGGGGCCCCGAGTACAGCGATGGCCGTCACACCGCGGGACGAGGACCACGACCACTTCGTTCCTTTCACTGGTCACGACCGACGGTGGAGAGGTGCCAGAGGCCGACGACCGGACCATCAGCGGCACCCGAGATCATCCCTTCCACAGCGGACGCCGTCCACCGTCTGCTTCCGTTGCGGTCAGGCGGGCCACATGGCGGTGGGCTACTGCAACGCTCCGGGAACCTTCGGCGGATCCTCGTGGTCCTCCGCCTTTACACCAGTGGGGCCGCAGGCAAGTCGCGATGCATCACCTTACCGGCCGCTCCCTCCACCTCACGCACAGAGTGGGGATAGGGCTCATATTCACCGGGTCACCTCCGGAAGTTCTGTCTCGCGCCGTACTCGCTCGCCGTCGGTATCCGGGTGGCCCAGACGTGTCCGTCAGTGGGCTGCGCTCGCACACCCTGTGGTGGCGGCCGCGGCGGGTTCCTACGTGGTCACAGGGTACATACAAGGGGTGGAGGTTCGCATCTTGGTGGACACGAGGGCGTCGGCCACCATTATATCAGATTGCATTTTCGAGTTATGATCATGCAGTGTTGGTCCACTGAGACCTGTGCAGGGGGCATGTGTTGCCACAAATGGGGGCAGTCTGGGTATAGTGGGCCATATTGTGGCATCAATTCGGGTTGGGGACATTCAACTGGAAGGTCCTGTCTTGGTCTCTAAGACGCTCGCAGTGCCATGCCTCTTGGGCACAGACTTCATGGCCAAAATGCCCATGAAGATACTCATCGACCAGGGTTGTGTCGAGTTACCATCTGGCCAGCGCTTGACCTTTTTTAATTCTCCTATGGTGTGGACCCCTCTTGCGGCCAGTGTAACCAGTGTTCGTGGCTTGGCAAGAGATTCCTTGACTATCCCGCCAGGAACACAAATGCTAATACCCTTGAGGCTGTGTGGGAAATCACAATTTCAGACTATTGGAGGCGGGCATCCTCTTAACGCTCTCCAGACACCCTCCCTTGTGGGTGCCCTTTCGGTTGTAGCAGAAAATCAGGAGCCATTCCTACAAATTCTCAATGCGGGGCCCTCGCAGGTTAACAGTCCCGGCGGGCACCGTTGTGGCACACGCGTCCCCAGCCCTCCCACCGGTCAAGGCCAGCGCCGGAGGGGGGATTGGCGGCTGTGCTGCCTGAGGGGAAGTCTGACACGTCCTGGGTGGATGCACTCTTTCATGAAAACGTTCTCCTGTCCCCAAAGGAGCGGGGCCAGCTTCGAACACTCATCAACAAATTCTCCGACATGTTGAGTCACGGCAAATTCGACATCAGCCGCACGTCCTTGCTAGAACATTTCCATAGAGACAGGAAATGCGGCCCCCATTCGCTTAATTTCCCATCGCTTTAGCCCAACGGAGAAGGAGCATATTCACTCAGCCGTGGATGACATGTTGGCGGCAGACATTATCTCCCCTTCCAATAGCCCGTGGGGAGCCTCTATCGTTCTGGTCAAGAAACGGGATAGGAGTCTCCGTTTCTGCGTTGATTTCCGTAAGTTAAACAAGATTTCCGTGGCAGATGCCTATCCCCTGCCTCGGATGGATGATTCGCTTGACGCCCTCTCCGGCGCGCGGTTTTTTTCCACCCTGGATTTGCTTTCAGGCTTTTGGCAATTGCCATTGGACGAGGCTTCCAAATCCAAAACCGCGTTCCACACACCTCAGGGGTTGTTGCATTGTAATAGGCTTCCTATGGGCCTCCATTCTGCCCTGCCACGTTCTAATGCCTTATGGAGATGGTTTTGGCAGGTCTCCAGTGGGAATCTTGTTTGATCTATTTAGACGATGTCATTGTTTTCAGCCGTACGTTTTGCGAACACTTACTGCGGCTGGAGTCAGTCTTCACCAAAGTGTGCACTGCTGGGTTGAAATTCAAACCCCAGAAATGCCATTTGCTGCAGCCCTCCGTTAAGTATCTATTCCACATTGTTAGTGCATCAGGTGTGGCCACTGACCCAGAGAAAACGACGTGCGTCCGTACGTGGCCGACTCCTACATCTGTCACCAAGGTTCGAAGCTTTGTTGGCTTCGCATCTTACTACCGTCGCTTTGTGTGCAACTTCGAGATGGTCGCAAAGCCTCTCCATGCCCTCACCACAAAGGGACAAAAGTTTTGCTGGGGCACGGAGGAGGACGAGACCTTTGTCGCACTCCAGACATCCCTGGCAGATGCGCCCACCTTGGGATATCCGGACTTCTCATGGCCCTTTGTGCTCGACACCGACACCAGCGACACGGCCATAGGGGCTGTGTTGGCACAAGTGGTGGATGGCGTTGAGCGAGTTGTGGCATTTGGCAGTCAAGTCTTGTCACCCACCGAACAGCGATATTGCATCACCCAAAGAGAGCTGTTGGCAATTGTGTTTTTGTGCAGCTGTATAGACCCTACTTGTACGGTCGTTGGTTTACCGTTCGTACTGACCATGCGGCACTACAATATTCATTGCACATCGATCAGCCTTCGGGCCAGTTGTCCCGATGGCTCAAAGTGCTCCAGGAGTACTCATTCGAGGTCATACACAGGAAGGGTACTTAGCACGGAAATGCTGATGGGCTGTCTAGGCGGCCTCCGGAGTACGGGTGTGCCTGCTCGACGGGATCAAGTCGCTGTAGGGATACGAGTAGCGTCGGGGCACACTTGATAGCGACGACCGAGGTCCTGCCCGTCGACTTCTGCTTTGGAATCCTACGAGAAGAGTGGTAACGCTTGCAGATGGAGGATACCTTTCTGCTTAAGCTGCAACGCCGGGTTAGGCCTGACGACCAAACCCCCTCTCAGCCGACCACTCCGCCAATTGCACTGCACGATGGCCTACTCATGCGCTGGGACCCTGAGCTCGAGAAATTTTGCCTGGTAGTTCCTGTTGTCCTGTGAGGGAGACTAACTATGTCGGTTCATGAAAAGTTAATGCACCTGGGGGTCCACAAAACATTGTTAAGCCTCAAGCGTGACTACTATTGACCAGGTATGGAAGGAGACCAATCGTCCACATCTATCACGGACGCCTTCTTGCAAGGGTATGTGATGGATAAAGGGGTCCCAGGGCGACTGTTGACCGACCTAGGTCGACATTTTTCTTCAAGGCTGCTCAAAGAGGTCTGTGATCTCCTGGGCACCAAGAAGGTTCGAACCTCGCCCTACCACCCTCAGACCAACGGGATGGTTGAGCGTCTCAACCGCACTCTCACGTCCCTGCTGTGCCTCCATGTCAACCAGTCTCAGTCAGACTGGAACTTGCTGATTCCGCGCGTCCTTGACGCATATAGGCTGGCTCCTCATGCCTCAACGGGGTTCTCACTCTTTTATCTAATGTATGGGAGAGAACCGGAGCCCCCTATGCAGGTACAATTGGATCTGCAGCCTCCTCTTAAGAAATCCGCCATGCCGGTGTTAATGAGGGGCATGCTCAACAGACTGCACGATGCTCGACAGGCGGCCATCAACAATTCGGCCAGTCGCCAAGCGGCTACCAAACGCCTACCAAGGCATCAGGCTTTAGGGGTTCCATGCCCGCAAGTGCCCGTCAGTACATCGCCTAAGTTTCACCACCCTTGGCAAGGCCCCGTTGACGTCATTTAGGCCCGCAGGCCACAGTGTGTGCGCATTCGATTCGGCCACCGCTAATGGATAGTCCACCTCTCTAGGTTAAAGAGGTATGTGCCACCTCATTCGGTTAGTCCATCCCCACTCATGGAGCGGCCGGGTTGTAATGTGTCCGACGAGCCGGGTCGCCTGGCCCAAGACGCTATGCGGAATAATCCACCTGCCTGTATGCCCACAAAGCCTCTCCAAGTAGGTCCCGCCGTCCCATGCTTGGGACCCACGACAACGGTACCTGCACCAGCAGATGCCTCCCCACACCCGATACCGGACGCCGCCCATGGTAGCGGACCTGCTGCTCACACGTGCTCCAGGGCCAATCGTTTTTGTTGACCGCCAGAGGCCGTCCGGCCAACTGCCAGCAATCACGGACATCGGTTCGCCAGCCATCCTGGGGAGGGGGCCTTCCCGCCCCGCCATTCTGCTTGTCTTCAGTGTTCTCCCCGTCTCAGACATCACCTCCGCCTTGCCACCCCCGGCCTCCTTCTCTTGTTGGTCATAATTACCAATGGCAGGGTGCTGATTTTGCGGGATGTCTGCCAGGCCTAAAGTTGTGTTATCAGCCGGGACGGCTGTGTTTTTTTTATGGGGGGGGGGGGGGTGATGTAGAGGAGTAGTGGGAGGAAGTGAAGGCATCGGGAGGAAAGAACTGCATTACGTCTTAGGGTGACGTCATGTTACCAAGAGGGAAAGGGGTACTTAAGGGGGACCCCGGGCCGAGGGGCGGGTCGTTGTGGGGAGCCGCGGGAACGGAGGTCTCTAGGAGACGGAAGACACACTGCTCGGCACCGAGACCCTAGGCCGAGGAAAGAGTAGGATTAGTGGGGAGCTTAGGTGAGGATAGGCCGAAGAGTTAGGCGGGTACCGGGCCCTTACAGAGAATCTCGTCTCCGTTTGAGTTTACAACGCAACATTATTATGAGTACACTAATACTAACGAATATTAGGATGTGTACACAGATACTAACGAATATTAGCATGCGTACACGGATACTAACGAATATTAGTATTTGTACACAAATACGAATATTTGTATGTGTACACAGATACTAACGAATATTAGTTTGCGTACACAGATACAAACATATATTAGTATGTGTACACTAAAACTAACTAATATTAGTATGCTTACACAAATACTAAGAAATATTAGTATGTGTATGGAGATACTAACGAATATTAGTGTGTGCACACTAAAACTAATGAACATTAGTGTGTATACACAGATACTAACGAATACTAGTGTATGTACACAGATACTAACGAATATTAGTGCATACACAGACACTAACGAATATTAGTACACAAATACTAACGAATATTAGTACGCAAAAAAAAACTAACGAATATTCGTTTGAGTACACTGATACTAACGAATATTAGTATGTGTACACAGATACTAACGAATATTAGTGTGTGTTCACATATACTAACGAATATTAGTGTGTACACAAATACTAACAACTATTAGTGTATACACAGATACTAACGAATATTAGTACACAAATACTAACTAATATTAGTAGACAAATACTAACGAAAATTAGTATATGTTGACTAATACAAACGATTTTTAGTATCTGTACACTAATAGTAATGAATATTAGTATGTGTACACTAATACTAACAAATATTAGTATATGTGTAGTGGATTCTACGGAGATATACGTTTTAAACACATTCCTGCGGAGGGAGCTGGTAGGAACGTTGGGTTGCTCGGTCAATGGCCAGGGTCAACGGCGGCATGGTGTATTCCACAAATATGCCCGACTGTGAGGGCAGGCACAAGCCGGCGTGAGTAGGGTAAACGTTGAGTTTTATAAGGGCACCACAGGGTGACCAGCCCCTCCCCACCCAGCCCCTCCCCACTCAGCCCCACCCTCCCCACCCAGCCCCTCCCCACCCTCCCCTCCCCACCCAGCCCCTCTCTCCCCACCCAGCCCCTCCCTGCACGACGGATGGACGGACACAATAATCCCCTGTGGGCTGGTGTAACCAGGAGGTTCCTACCAGTACTACATAACATACACTTAGTTAACTAGACCCCAACAGGGTAACTACATAACCGGGTCAGGCAGGAACGTACTGCCTGATCCACGATGCCGAACGTGACGACTGGAGACCCGAAGATCGAAAAGACATTTTGTGCAGCCCGGTTACTGGGCATAGTACCAGCCCTAGCGGGGCTTAGGTGAGCGCTGGTCAGCGCGGGAACACCACGTACAGTGTGCGGTGTGGGCTCCCAGAAAGCAAGAGAGGGTGTCAGCCAGCAGGGTTACGTTGGGGCTTGATACACTTATTGACCTGCCGACACGTGACCGGATGATATTGGAGGGAGGCCACCGGTGGACGGGGGCCGTTGGGTGGTCACGTGGTATAGAAGAGCTCTCGGGAGCCTTCGGGAAAGAGCTCGAAAGATCGAGAAGGGGGGTGGGGCGAGAGGCGGAGCCAGCCCCAGCCCGGGCCGATATAATGGCTGTTGGTAAGAGAAGATCCACGTCGGGTTGAAGAAGCCTGTAGCCACGTGGTCCGGGACCCAGCTTCTGGTCCGGACCGGGATAGCGGGACATTGTCTAGTTCTGCCGTTGCATGGTTAGATGGGCGTTCAACACCCGAGTGTAGGTTACATTATGTTGTGTTGGTGTTAATCTAAATTAAAAGTGTTGCTCCCAAGATAACGTCTGCGACTCAGTTGGACTCACTCACTAATACTAAAAAATATTAGTGTATGTACACAACTACTAACGAATAATAGTATGTGCAACTTCTAACGAATATTAGTATGTGTACACTATTACTAACGAATATTAGTATGTGTACACAAATACTAGCGAATATTAGTCCTGTATGTAGTTGTCATACTCGTGATAACCACAGTGTAATGTATGAACATATCACGTACTGCAGTAAGACAACACCAACACAACACAACACCAGCGTGTGTGTGTATACGCCACGTGCACTGCTCGTGCCGCTACTGTGCACGCGTCGCCGTGACCTCTGTGCGGGTGTTGTCGCTGTCCTCACCACAGATGGATGCTCGCCGACTCTGGACACAAACTCAGCCCACGACCGCCTCCAGATTTCCTCGGATCTCAGGACGGTGACAAGGAGTCGTGTCCCCCAGGGTCGTTCCCATAACCCACTCCGCTTTGATGTCTGGCCACAAGCCCTGTGCTCTGAGAGCTTCTCGTCGGGTCAACACTACTGGGAGGTGGACGTGGGGAGCGCAGAGTGGTGCGGGATTGGAGTCGTGTATAGGACGATCCCATGGAGAGGGCGTGGTGATAAGTGCCTCCTGGGAGTGAGTGACGTCTCCTGGTGTCTACAGAAATATGACGACAGCTTCTCAGTGCTGCATGGCGGGGTAGAGACCTCACTGTCGGTGCCGGAGCCTCTGCGGAGAGTCGGGGTCCATCTCGACTGGGACGAGGGGCTGCTGTCGTTTTACTGCGCAGACTCAATGGCAACGTTGCATTCGTTTCACCAAACTTTCATTCAGCCCCTACATCCTGGGCTGTGGGTGTTGGGTGATGTTGGGGACTCAGTGAGGATTGTGGATCTGAGCGGTGCGTCCTGAGAGAGGTGAACGTGAACAGCGCAGAGGGCAGACGCCACGGCGCTCGCCACCCTCGTCACCGTCACACGCAGTGCCACGCCCGTGACTGGCTGGTGGCTGTCGGTGGCTAGGGGCTGCGTGGCTCTCCATCACAACGAGGGGGCTGAGCATAAACAATCCTCACAACCTTCATAGGGGGGTGGTGGGTGATAAAATAGTACCGCTCTGTGCGTGAGTGAATCCAACGTGGATGTATTCACCCTGCCAGAGGAGTGTGACTGTAGTGTAGGTGCAGTAATTAGCAATGGTGAACTGGGATGTGGTTATACACTGGTGGTGTCATGGGTTGTGGGAGAGATACAACAATACAAATATTTATTTTTAAAAGTATAAATGTACGCGTACGACAGTGGCGTTGTAATACTTGTATCGTCTAAAATAAAAATACAGAACACAAACAACAACAATGTAGTTGTGTACAGCGTCATTCGTGCTCACTGCATCCCGCAACGCCGTTCAATAATTTAACACGAGGATCAAATCCTCTACAAATAAAGAAACAAATAAAGAGATGACGACAAACACAAAAGGCGCCAACAATGTCCGAGCTGTTCAAGTTATCTGCTGCTGCGTCATGGACGTGGTGACGTCACCACGCACGCTCCCCCAACGCGGTGACGTCACCACGTCACTCATCCCCCTCTCCCCCCACCCCCCTACGCTCTCCCCCCATGCCTGCCCCTCACCACTGCACCATCTGTGAACACAAAGAGCTTCACAGCTCAGCGGATTCCTAACGCACTACAAACACAGCTTCTGATATTCTGGATTCCCACCACTGGGGGAGTCCCGCGTTGGCGACAACAAAAACAAACAGAGGCACTGAGGGGCAACCTGCAGCCTCACTGTGACCCAGCACTGTGGGGGGGAGGGGGTGGTTGGTGGATCACCACTGACGCTGCTGGGAACTCCCCGCGAGGGCGAGTCGACGAGGCGCCACGTGGCCCTGTTGCTCACCAGGAGAAGGCGGTAGAACAGCTACAACAACAACCACCACCACAACCACCAGAACAACCACCACCACAACCATCACCACCACCATCACAACCACCACTACAACCACCACAACAACGATCACCACTACCACCACAACAACCACTACAACATCCACTACAACAACCACCACCACAACCACCACCATAGCAACCACCACCTTAAAAACCACCACCATAATAACCACCACTACTACCACCACAACCACCACCACCACAACAACCACCACAATAAGCACCACCAATACAACCACCACAACCACCACAACAACAGCCACCGCAACAATAACCACCACCACGCGTAAACTTCACCCAGCGACAGGGACTGGGAACTAAAAATAAAAAAATCGTCTCCAGTTTTGTAAACACGCCGCACATAAATTCTGGCTATGGCCAACAATTGCTTATATATGTATTTAGATATGCATATTAATATTTGTGTAGAGGAGTAGTTTGATGACGAGGTCATGAACGCTGTGAGGCGTGATTGCGACCGATTCCCAGACATCGTTTGGGTCCCGGCGGTGTCTGGAGCGGTGTTGGTGCGCGCCACGCGAGGGCGCTGCCACTCCACCACAGGGATTCAAGGGGCGCGCTGAATAATGAAAGTGCAAGGGAGATTTCAAAAGAGTCTGTGGCCAAATCAACCCGGAATGTCACCAATTTCTTTTTTTCCAAATCTGGGAAGCTACGCAAGGTTGAGCCTGGACTGTAGCGCTGGGATTGGTGAGCGGCGTGCACGTCGGAGTGCAGTGTGCTGATTACCAGAGGTGTGGACTCGAGTCATGTGACTTGGACTCGAGTCAGACTCGAGTCATGAATTTGATGACTTCAGACTCGACTTGGACTTGCATAACAATGACTTTGTCCCACCTCTGCTGATTACGCATTGTGCCTCTCCGATTCGCGTTCAGGTTCTGCCCCTTGTTGATCAGCACGATGTCTGTGACGTTCCCTCCACGTGCTGGGAGCATCGTCAAGATTTGAAGCTTCAGTTGAAAGTGGAAATGTGAGGAGCATTGACGAGCCTTCAATTCTTCGTTACGATGGAGCTGATATTCCTATCATAATTTTGAAGTTATTTAATAAGCTTCAGGATACTTCTCGAGCCATGGGTAAGGTTTAACATATTTGTTCGAGTAACGAGACATCGATCTTCAGTCTGCGTGCCAACATCGCCCTCACTAAAGTGGGCATCGGAGCACATCACAGCAGCACGGGAACGGTACCGGGCCACAGAGCAACAGGAATGGAACAAAAGAAATCCGTCACGACCTCAGCGGGTCAATTTGCAACTGCGCACAACGAACAGCAAATAAGTAAATAATAAGTCAAGAAAATTAATAATGAAAGAATATTAATAATAAAATGTATTATATGAATGAATAATAAAAATAATTGTAAAGTGTATAAGTTACATGAATTGACGCATTTATATAAATTAATATTAAACCTTTATTATATATTTTTTATAATTAAAATTAAGTGAATTATTTAGTTACCAATTAAATAAATATTTCTTCTTTATGTAATAATTTTAATAAATAATATTTATAAATATTTTATAATTTCAATAAAATAAATAATGTGTGAATATTCTTGGTTCTTTCAGTAAAGTCACGTAGAAGCGAAACAATAAAATGATAAAAATAATAAACAATAAAATTCTCACGACGTTTCGACTGCAACACAAGCAATCATCATCAGGTGTGAAAACCACAGCAAGAAAATTTGAAAAAGGTGGCGGTTTTTTTTTACGTTAGCACCACGGACAGCGATTTGGCAGTTGTTCAGATGGACGAGTCCATCTATGTTCGGAAAAGAGGAGGGGGGAGAGGAAGAGAATGGAAAGCGGTCTGAAAGTCACCGTAAGCGTGAACACAATCAATTAAGACCCGAAATGGTTTATTAAATCCTTCCAATAATTGCTAAGCCAGAATCCATCTTCTCGATTGAAATTGTCTCTGTGTTTGCATAATGTGGATAGCCTCATGAACGAATCTCGTTCATGAGGCTATCCTGAACAACTGCCAAATCGCTGTCCGTGGTGCTAACGTAAAAAAAACGCCTCTTTTTTCAAATTTTCTTGCTGTGGTTTTCACACCTGATGATGATTGCTTGTATTGCAGTCGAATCGTCGTGAGAATTTTATTATTTATATTTTTATTATTTTATTGTTTCCCTTCTACGTGACTTTACAGAAAGAACCAAGAATATGAATCCCTGCAGTCACGAAAGCTTTAAATCAAAACGTATGAATAATAAATTAAACAAAACAACTAATTTAAAGAATAATAAATGCACCGGTTCCCACCCCCCTTGTTAAATGGTGGATGTTAGGGGCAGGCGAGTGTGAGTAGATGCGTCTTGTACAGAGCACGGAGTTGAGAGACACTCGGCGCGTTGTGGACGTCCTGTGGGCAGGGCGTACTCGAGGCGGTTCGTCCCCCCAGCGTCGGGTGGACAATCCCCGTGTGGTTTGGATGAACTTATTCATTCGCATGAACGCCACCCACCCATTGCACATCACATAAAGTACGGGGGAAATTACTGCTGTTGAAAATATATTTTATTTTTAAATCAAAGAAAGCACGCATGACAGAACCATCCGCATGTAGGCACACGAGTTACAATATGAAAGTGAAGGAGTGTGCGCACGTCAATCAGAATGATCGTGAGTGGCAATGCTGCCGAGCTGCTCACAGCACTGCTGCTCGAGTAGAGGAGGAGAGGCGACTTTGATGATGAACCCGAGTACCCAGACACATCTAACGCGATGGAGCAGGTGGAGATGAGTCCACTTGCTGTACTTGCTGTACTGCCATCTGCTGGCAATCCAGAGTATGGTGACCTCAGTACCCAGGGGTAAGAGACTGATCCACCTGGATTACAGGGGATCCCTCCCCAATGGAATCCAGTGCTGGATTTCAGGCACCCATCACCACAGCCCGTGTTATACAGGTACAGTACAGTAGGTTGTTGGAAGGCAAAAAAAGGGTGGTTAGAACATCTGTGGAGAAGTTTATGAATAATGAAAAAACTGAAAGCTTTAGCTGGTGGAGTAAAAAGGGGTAAGATGTTGAGGGAAATTGGTAAAGTTGGCTATTTCTGCTATGGACGGAGCTATTCATCTACGAGCCAACCATTTCAACGCACGCAGTTACTCAGAATAAATAATTTATAGTGTCCACAGGCCGTGCGGATCGTGGGGGTTGTTTGGCCACACTTCACCACGCCGGCCAGTACGGGTTAGTGTTAGACGTGGGATCTTTAGACAGAGGTACAAATTGCAGTACAACATTGGATTGTTCTGCTTTACCCTGTTCTACACACATCAATTTCCAGCCTAGCAGCTGGAAAATAACTGACTGATGGAGTCAAGGCACATATAGGGCCACACAGTAGGTTTAACGAACCCGCTTCATGTACAACATCTGGCTACTTTGCAGCCTCAGTTACTTTTGAGTTTCACAAATATTCGTGATCCACCAACCCCCCCCCCCAACCTCATAATAGAGTTTTTTCACTTTTTTCTGGCAACAAAACTGAAACCTTTTTTCAAGGATTCATGTCTGCATTAACCACAATACTTGCAGTCAAATGCAAACAAAAAACTAACTATGATAATATATGCATTGCCCTTGAAACTGATTGGTCCACACCAAGGGACGGCTTTCTTTTGAGCCTCAAGCCAATTGGTGCTCGACCAGAGGATGCCAAAAGGCGATCAGCTCAAAGACAATGCAATATCAAAGTGATAAGGGCTCGGGGTGAGCATCTACATCATTGGACTTCCTTTGCCAGTACCCCCAACCTCCTCAAAAGGCCTCCACTCAGGTGGGCTCCCCCGAGTGATGCTGATCAAGGTGGTGGTGAAGCCTCTTCAGGCTGTGCGCGTGTTCTACTGACGATGCGTTAAGCCTCACGAATTGTAATCATCTTAATCTTTTTTCCAAACAACTCAACACGTTCATCAATAACACCGCCATACAAATAAATGCATTCATACACACAATACGCGACGTTTATAGCAATTGGCATTCTTCTTAAACCCATTATATGCTTCTAGATTTGAAGCTTTCGTGACTGCAAGGATTCATATTCTTAGGTTTTTTCGGTAAAGTCACGTAGGTAAAACATTAAAATTAATAAAAGTAAAATAAAATAAAACAAAAATATAAATCACAAGCTTCCGTCTTCTGGTGGAACCGTCACAGCCACGACAGCTGTATCAAGTAAATGAGAGATTACAAGAGCTACCACTCCGTATATATAATGCTTGGAGAGGGGAAGGGCCAAGTAAGGCACACTTTTTATTAATATGGTAAGGTGAGGCTTAAGACACATGGCCTCCCAGCATTGAACCACTTCTTGGACCACATCAATTCTA